GGTTTAACTGTGAAGGCATATGCTCGAGTCTGACCGGAGAGAGGCGATACTGAAATTCAATACAACCAGAGTGCTTTTTAAGGATCCAAATAATTAAACTAAGTTGCTTTCGAAAGAACTAAAAAAACAACAACATAATTTAGCCAGCTACCCAAGATGCACATCTCACATCTCTGTTGAATGAGTTGCCAGGCAGACTCTATGGGCGTCTTTTCAGCAGTAATTGCATTAACTGTATTACAGCAACATCACCATGTATTTACAAAAGCAATTTAGAGGCCTGTAGAAGACAGTTGAGAGCTGATTCACGATTGTATTGCAAAAAATGAACAAAGAAAAGCACTATAGTGAAGGATGTTGGTCATAAGTTAAAGTTAAAACAGTCAAGAATAAAACCCCACTTCATTAAAAAAAACTAACTTGCTTAGATGTAAATGTAACTTTAGGAAAAAATGTATTATTTGTTTATCAAAACAGTGATGGCACTTGAAGTAGATGGTCAATATGCATTCATCAGAAATGCAATATAGCTCACAATGGATGTTACAATGAATTTGAGCTTGGAGTAGCTTATTTCTACAGCAGAAGCTCATCTTAGCCTGGAAGGTCAGATATGGATGTAAATGAGAGGTGATAGACAGATTTCTCAGTCTCAAAGTGTTGATGGCTGCCAGAAGATCTGTTCCAATATGTGGGCAGAAGGATATTTATTCCCCGCTGGCTACTCTCATCAATCTAATGCACCAGTGACCCGTGATCTAATCAACCAGACCCCCAAAAAACAAAAACTAAAAAGACCCATCAAACTTTACCGCTGCTCATGTTATATGTACTGTACATATTTTCCAAGGAAAATCAATTTGGAAGAAACAATAACAAAACAAAAACTTGCAGTCTGTGATGCAAATAAAAAATGGGGAGTACATGTTACGTATTATTTTGACATGCATTGCAGCCTTTTAAACTATAATTGTGAATAGAATGCCGACAACAGACAATATGCCTTTTAGCAAGGATGTTGTTCTTGGAGGAAAAATCAATGAAGAAAGGAACAGGCAGACAGGTGTTTTTTTTAAACAAAAACAAACTTATAAAGTTTTTATTTTATTTTATTTTATTTAAATGAACATCCCCAGTAAACAGTAGAAATGTTTCACTCTAGATTCCCACTGGCTTGAATTCATCAGTTCTGTTAATGACAAGAGGCAGAAACACTGATTAAATGCTAATGGCATTCGTGGCTGTTCTGTCCTTAACATTAATGATAATTAAGCAAACCCACCATCTTATCATGCACTGAGTCTTGTGCAAACTAAGGCTTCATAACAATTCAATACGTGATATTTGAGCAGTACATGATCCATTTAACCACAAATACTGAAAATATTTAACAGCAGATATTATTACATGGGTAAAGAAATAAATTATGCATGTATTATTCTGTGCTTGGTATCCCAACCCGATCTCACGACCAAGTCGTACGAATTCGACGAATGATTAAAAAGTGGCTAATTCGTAACAATTCATACGACCTCACTCGTACGAATTAATACGATTTTGCTAAATCGTACATATTTTACGAATTGGCCAATTCGTATGAATTCATACGAATGACCTACCCCTTACCCCGCCCCTAAACCTAACCATCACGTGGGTTTAGACAAATCGTACGAATTAGTACGAGTGAGGTTGTACGAATTAGCCACTTTTTAATCATGCGTCGAATTCGTACGAATTGGTCGTGAGATAGTGTTGGGTATCTTGTCCAAATGTAAATAGCTTTATTGAGGCCTTAATTTTAAAGAAAGAATATATAATCAGATTATTATTATCAAGTGCTGATCCAAAGCCACTTGAAGTGACCTGACCATTCAAACCAGTGAGCAATATAGCTGCATTTACAAATTTGTCCCCTGGTTGAAAACCTGCATTAAGCATTTCCCTCAGATTTGCATTCATGCATTAATTCCTGTGTCAACATTGGCTATGATTGCGATGTTAATTATTCTGTTTTGTCCTTATCTATTATTTGATCTAGTGGTTATTCAAACTTAAAGTAAGAGACAGTATTATATTGGAAATAAAACTTTAACATTTTGATTGTTTTTTCACACTCATCTTGGTGACACACCATGATCTTTTTTTCTTGGCAAGGTTTTCAATGTGTGGCTAGATATCAAAATCACATGAAGATCCAGAAACATTTCTCATTCTCTCGTTGACAATTTTAGAGACAATTTTCAAAAATATAAAAAGGCTCAGGATTTTATTTTGCCAATATTCCGTCATATTTTTCTCTAGATGGCATACGGTCAGTTCAGTCGCAACTAAACGGCGGTTTGGCTAAAGATCAGATGGTTCAATGTGTGCATCTGGCTCTTGGACCTGTCAGGCTAAAGCAGACTTCAATCTGATGAAGACTTCCAAGTGGCCAAACTTAGCATCTGGTCTCCGACAAACCCGACATAAATCACAGGTAGAACTGGTAACTCTTAAATCATAGAAAAGGAGTAAAAAATGATGGCAGTGTACTGAGAACTTCCAGAAATATTTTGTCTGGGAAGAACTGGAATGGTCTGCAAGTTAATGATCCAGTCTCTCTCATCAAGTCTTATTTATCGAGCCATCTGTAACAACAGATGCTCTCTCAGTTTAAGAGTCTACTGGCCAGCTAATATGGTGACCTATGAAGCAAAACAGACTCAGTGGAGAAGATGTAAGTCCGTGGCGGCACTGAAATTCACTGTCTAACATCCATTATACAGATTCATTCATTTATACTAATGTCATGCAAGTCAAATGTAATTTCACTCTCGTTAGGAAACCAGATAATTCACTCGAAAGAACTCTTCTAGCACATTTAGTCTTTTTAAATCATGGAAGATTTCTGTTCTGTGTGAAAGAGCATAACATTTCATTATAAAAACAGTACTCTGTTATTTTGTTTATCTCTGTTTGTTTGATCTGTTCTTTTAACAAGCCCCAGAGAAATCATCCTGTTTCCTGAGTGATACAAAGCGGACACAAAAGGTAACTTTTAACATCGCTCATCATAAATTTTAGATAAAAAGCACAATGTTGCAACAGTAGAGAGCCAGAGCCATGCAGGGAGGATATTGTCAAGTGCTTGAAATTGATTCTCTGTTATATAATTTCATTTCCGCTGCGATTAGAAGCCACAGAATGGTGAAGAATCTTTTTTTCGATTTAACTAATCACGTAATCAGTTGAACAGGATTCCATTATCAAAACGTGTGCTAATTGCAAATTTACCCCTGAGGGTCAAACTTAAATATTATGCCTCTTAGCACATGTAGGCCTACTGTAAATGTAAGCCATTAATGAAGGATGTGACATGTGTTATGCATTGATGTAGAATGAGTTGAATTAACATGAAAGTACATGTAGAATTCTGGCAACTTGAATGAACTTAAGAGTCTAATAATGTCTTAAGAGGTACCAAAACAACATGCTGTAACAGCTTGACATAAATACAAAGCCTCCAGATGGTGCCCTGTTTTTCATGAAATAAAGCCAAGAGCAGTGCTTGACAGAATCACAATCTTGACAAATGTATCAACTCAAAGCAGCAAGGCCAAGAAATTATCAGCCCCCCAAATTTGCACTGATTTCCACAAAAATTAATTTCTCTCTTTACCCGAACTTGAAGAAAAATAGGTGCTTTATTACTACAGAAATTTAGTTCTAATACATTTTAATTAATTATTTTGATTTTGATTTAAAGTTAAAGGGATAGTTCACTTTGAAATTCATTATTGATATGTTTTAGCTTGCCTCAAGTGCATCCAAGAAGTAGGTGTCTTTGTTTTTTGATATTTTTAGGTCAAACCAACCCGATCTCACGGGAATTCGTACGAATTTTACGAGGTGGCTAATTCGTAACAATTCATACGACCTCAGTCGTACAAATTAGTACGATTTTTGCTAAATCGTACATATTTTACGAATTGGCCAATTCGTATGAATTCGTACGAATGACCTACCCCTGACCCCGCCCCTAAACATAACCGTCACGTGGGTTTAGACAAATCGTATGAATTCGCACGAGTGAGGTCGTACGAATTAGTACGAATTAGCCACTTTTTAATCACTCGTACGAATTCGTACGAATTGGTCGTGAGATAGGGTAGGTCAAACCGTTCGTGTCTATCAGTCATATAATGGAGGCCTATGGGGTCCACCTCAAAGAGCATGCACAGAGAAGTGCAAATTATACATGATTTAATGACTCGGAAATGTAAGTAAACATTGATGGCCTAAAACACGAAATGAGTGGTTTGTGTGAGAAAACGAACAGTATTTATATCGTTTTTACCTCTTGTAACCACAACCACAAAGCGCCCCCGCCCTCACATCACTTGGACGTGGCTGTGGTTACAAGAGGTAAAATCGAAATAAATACTGTTCTCACACAAAACGCTCGTTTCGTGTCTTAGGCCATCAATACTTACATTTACGAGTTGAATCATGTTTAATTTGGACTTCTCTGTGCATGCTCTTTGAGGTGGACCCCATAGACATCCATTTTATGACTGATAGACACAAACGGTTTGATCTTTAAAATATCAAAACTGAAACTACTGCAGAAACAAAGACACCTACATCTTGGATGCCATCGAGGTAAGTTAAAACATCCCAAAAATTAATTTCAAAGTGAACTATCCCTTTAATTGAACACATGTTAATATACTGTATCACTAGACAAATATAGATAATGTTAAACATGAAAGTATTACGCATTTATTTAAGACATGTATACAACCTGTTTGAAATGGGTTCCTTAAAATTGAGTCAAGAACCCTATGGGTTAGAACCTTTTTTCTAAGAGAGTGGAATGGAACCATATAAGAAATAATAGTAAATAGCGTAGCTATCGTGGATGTTTACAGAATGTCGAGCGACACTTTTGTGCGTGGGCGTAGATTTTCATTGTGTTTCAATATGCATGCACATGGTTTGTAGGGAGAAAGTACGAGCGCATGCACAGCAGCACGCGCAGTTGGAAGTCGAGTGCGCTCGCGAGCAGATGAGAAGAGAAGAGAAAAGGAGGGCTGCGTAAAGTGACCAGTGGAGTTGTCCTTCTAGCTGACGTTCTATATCTTTCTAAACCTTTTAGAATAACGATATAGGTTTTATTGTTCCAGTTTTTGAGTCACATTAGAATACGTTTGGCATTGTACAAGGAGAGCGCATGATGGAGCCTCCAACAGTAACTGTTAATGATTTTTTCGAACAGTATCATTCAATTCTCCACAACTCAAGCTTTATGGAGGAACCAGCAGGACTTCAGTCCAACTGGAGCGAGGGCAGCGAGCCGAAGGCGGTGAGAGGCAGCAGTGCGGTCGCTATCGCTGTGTGCATCACTGCGCTGTATTCAATCATTTGCGTGGTGGGACTGTTTGGAAATATTCTGGTTATGTACGGTGTGGTCAGGTAAGGTAATTAGTTTATTCAATGATTTTGAATCACTAGTTTATTCAATGATTTTGACTTTGTAGCTAAAAAAAAGTATCTGCAACTGGGATAATCAGTCATTATTTAATGAACCAATCTTGACATTAGCTGAGAAATGCCTCTTAGCCCAAACTGCTGGTTGACTTTCTGTAGGCTATAACAAGTGCAAAAACTATTAAGAGAAAAATAAACGTAATTAGCGTCACCTATTTGAACACAGGAAATATATAGCATGTAGCCTGTTTCTTTTCAGAGTTAAGATGTCATTAGGGGTGTATGCTAACAATATATCGTGCCACAATATATTGCAATACAAGAATGTAACAATACGTGGATAGTGACATTATTATGTATCGTGGATAGTCCCCCAAAAAGAGTAAGTAGGCTACTACATTAAACTATAATGTTGATTATAATGTATAATAATGCAATGTGGGAATATTCGTGGGTCCTGATAATGCCAGATGTCTGATGTTACCAATAAAAACATTATTTTTAAATATATCTATCAGTGAAAGAGTGCAAGCATATTCATCTAAAATAATTCTGTATTTTCAGCTTCAGAATCATGAATATTTTTATTATGGTTACAAACACCAAGTCCAAGCCTATTAATTTTAACCCATGTAATAATCAAATTTAGCATTTTAATCAACTGTACATTTTTTGTTAACCTTTTACCATATGTCTTGGAGTATCGCAATAAAATCGTATCGTGAGTTCAGTATTGTGATCTAATCGTGACATTGTTAGATGTCATGTTTGTAAATACTGGTTTTATCACTGTAAAACAAAAAGATCCTCTAGGTAACAGTTCAGATCACCACCAGGCAAGCCCAACCAATGTACCTCTAAGCACCCTTTCTAAAAGTTCAAGAAACTTAAAAAAAAAAATTAAACCCATAAGTTCCTGTAACATTTTTTAACACACTACTTCTATCGCTCACCTTGTTTTCATGCCTGTCAAAACTCTTCCCTAACTAGGGTAGAGTCACCTTTAAAATGCCCATAGGTTCTGCAAAATTGTCTTTATCTGAAGAACCCCAAATTCTTAACCCCAAGTTTAAAGTGTTTAAACCATTTCACACAGCTATAACGAACTAATTAGAGTTCCTTTAAATAAACACATAAAGCATTCTATTTATAATACATTTCAGGCATTCCAAATATGAAATAAGCATTAGACCGTCGTAAGGAAATTAACAGAATAGGAACTCCAAGGTAACCAAGGTAAATTATGTTAGATGGATCAATGCAATCTAACATAATTTACCTTGAGAATACCTACATTTAAACTAAACTATTAAAATGAACATGCATTTTACAGCTCGATTTAGAAAAGAAAACTGAAGTGAACCAAAAAGAATTTGAATATAAATAGAGCCTTTGGCATGTGAGTGGTTCAGATCTTTCTATCTATTCACAGCACATATTCAAGAGTGCAAAGCCATTGCCTGAGGGAAAGTCTGAATGGACTAATCATATTCGGAATCTCTGGATTGCCTACCTTTGAGGAGACATGAAAAAAATCTAGCAGAAGAGAATATTATAGTGCATCAGACACTACAGCCTGGAAGGATGAAGCTGTACAATAGAAAGTTTGGTGTGAAAAGAACTCATTAATAATTCCCCCTGAAGTTTCAATTGCATTCGGAAAACTTGATATGAATGCATTTTAGATTGCATCTAAATCAAAGTTTTCCCCTCGTTGTAATCCATTATTTCTCACACTGCACCAAAGAGCCATTTTTTAATTTTTGTCTGGTTTCCCAGTAAAAATATCGTGTTGGTTACGTAACCCTCGTTCCCTTTCATTGTCACTCCGAGTTACATCGGATGATGACGAATGGGGTTTCGCTTAGAAAGCCTATCGACTTCCAGTATTAAAAAACGAGCCAATGGCAAAGAAATGTCATGGGACTTAGAGAATTAGAGAATACACATATGACCCAGAGGGATGCATATGGAGAACACTGGGGTGTCAAGCAGCAGGTTGAATATTTCAACCCCAGGGATGGCAAGTTGGCTTGCGAGGGAAAGACATGCTCAGAGAGGCTTACAGTGGTAATACACATGTGGGGGTCGCCCAGAAGGGGGGTATGCATACGGTACGCTTCGTCAACAATGAATGTGTGCAGGTCCCCTACCCTTTTGAAGGAGGCCAGTGCAACCAGCAGAGCTGTCTTCAGACTGGAATTTAATCTCCACTGATTGCAGAGGCTCAAAGGGAGCACTCTGCAAGGCAGTTAAAACCACTGAGAGGTCCCAAGAAGGAACGAGAGGAGGGTAAGGAGGATTCAATCTCCTCACTCCTCTCAGGAATCTGACAATCAGGTCATGCTTCCTTACGGACTCCACTCAAACCGATGCTCAGGATCTGACTCGACAAATGCCATATGCACACCCGAAGGTGGCAGCACTGTTGAATCTTCACTTCCTGAAGATTCTATCCTGCCCTGTGATGCTGCGATGGACATCAGATCCGATTCAGGAGCGTCAAGGGAAACCTGCGGGGCGTCCGTAAATAGAACCCTGAACACTCGCGGGTTGCATCACTGAAGAGGGGGGTGTGATCCGCGGACAAACAGTTTGCGTTTTGTTCCACACCCTCACCCTCAGGTCACCTTAGCCACCAGCCGAAGTACCACCTCTCGTGGAGGGTGTAGATTGGGGTGTGAATGAGGGGACTCTCTCTCTAACGAGATCACCGAGTCTCGAGCGTAATGATGTGATGCCCATGTTCCCACAGAGAGAACATGAGTCATCCGCAAACGCTGCTCTAGCGTGATCAATGCCTAAACACGCAGAACCGAGAATGTGCCCATCAGAGTCAGAAATGAATCGACCACAAACAGAAATGCATGGGCGAGCCATCTTTAAAAATACGTGCCACGTGCGAGCTCTTTTGTGAGAGGAAAAAACTTGAGCAGAGCAGGGAGAAACACACTCAGGCAGATCACTGCACAGACCAGCAGGCAGTGTGAACTCACTGGAGATCACCATCTCATCAATACCAGAGAGTCGCTCGTCTCATAGAGTGAAGTCAGAAATGGCTGTGCAGTGAAGAGAAACTCTTGGCTCAGAAGCGAAACATATCTGCATATTGCCGGCATCCTCCTTTAATACCCACAAGGTGGGGCGGAGTTGCGCCATGCAAATTCCGTAGACCTATGGCATGTCTTTGCTATTGGCTCGTTTTTTAATAATCAAAGTCGATAGGTTTCTTCGTCGTCATCTGACGTAACTCGTGTGTGTGACAACGAAAGGAACGAAAGTGTCCTTAAAAGACGAGACCGCAGAAATATCTGCAGTATTAAGGTTTTTGATTAAAACAACAGCAACAAAAAAACTATTTGCTTCTCTAGCTATACACTCACACACACCCTTCGGAGGTCAATATATGGCACTACCTCTAAACAACAAGGCCTGTTGCAGAAATATGTGCCCTGATGAGCATGAAACACATGATTGATGGCAATGCTGCAAATGTAGCACAGCAAAGCAGTATTTCCTTATGAATTAGGGACCAGTGTAAAATAAGAGATGCAAACATGAGTCATGGATATACAACAAAACATGTTATGCACTTAGTACAAAAGACTTAATGGAACTTATAATAATGGATTTATTCATCACGCTACATGTGTAGCCATGTACAAAGAGAGGAACAAACTGTAGTGTCACTAATGGATGTGCTGTATTCTCTCTTCAGCACTATGAGACTTCAAATGTCAAGTCCTCGAAAGAGATCACTGTGTGGGCTCCAGACATATCTCAAAGAGATATCAATGCATTACACTTTTTGCCTTTGGCATTGATCTTTTCTTTAGTAACTATTTGCATCATTTTATAGGCAACCCCATTATTTATCAGCCCATTATTAAGTAAAAAAAAAAAAAAAATACAGAGAAAATTGTGAGCTGATTATCGTACGATATCACAGAGAGACTATTGACTATCGGTCAATGATGTGGAGTGTCCTCTCTGATATCCAAGGCTTTTTCGGGGAAGATCGAAAGCAGCTAAAGACATTGTGAGCTGACTGGATGACCTTGAAGTTCTGCCAGTCGTTCACCTTGTCAATAGTCAGGTTATCAAAGGTGCAGCGGATGGCGCATATGAAGTCTGCGACGATGTTTGGATCACTGAGTAAGGAGTCGTCGAGGCGAGGCTGAGTCTTACTGGGCTGGTTGGTCTCTGTTGTCAAGCTCTGCTCCTCGGTACAGTTGGTGACAAATGGCTTCCAGCATCAAGAGATGAGGATATGGTCCAGAGCTTTCCTGGTTCTGCCATCTGGGCTGTACCATGTCCAGTGATGGATAAGCTTCCGGGGAAACCAGGTATCAGCAACGCAGAGGTTGTTGTGATGGCTGAGAACGATGGCGGTTACGATTGTCGTTTGTGGACCTGTCAGCAAAGGTTGTGCCAGCAGGTGAGCCTGTGGACTGATCCCTCATAGACAGAGAGGCATTGGCATTGGTGAGGATGATGGTGATGTCGTGTGGTGTGGCTTGGCCAACAGCCTGATGGAGTTGGTCAAAGAAGGCATCCTTTGCATCCTCATTAGCGACATCGGTGGGGGCATAAGCAGCGATTACTGTCATCTTGCCATGAGAAAGTGGGCCGACAGTAATCGCTCAGGGGTGTCCAGTTGATGAGGAATTTGTGGAGGGCCTTTGAGATGGCAAGTACCACGCCATAAAGGCCTGTCCGTCCTCGGGGCCACTCCAGAAATAGCAATAATCGCCTGCTGTTGTTTCGCCATTGCCGTGCCATCGAACACAGAGCCTTGCCAAGGAGATGTTATGGCGGCAGAGCTCTCTGAACAGCAGGGTGGTAGTTGCGGGGTGAAGGACTGTCTGGACATTCCATGTGGCGACTCGGGTCCTGCGGCGAAGGTTTAATCATACTCGTTGGTCGGGGGCAGGCAGGGGTCCGTTTCCTTGTTGGGCTGTCCGGCTACTTTCTCTGATCGGTTTCGTAACAAAATAGTTTCTCTTGGGTGGGTGGTTAGCCCTCTGCAGGATAGTCGGTTGGTGAGGCTACCGCAGCATACCAACATGCTGGGATCTTTGTTTGTCTGGAACCTACCCTGGAGACCGGCCCGCCTAGGGTGACCCTACCAAAAGCAAGCTCCTAAAGGTATCGTTCTCCAGGGTCAATGGAACACGCAAGCCCCCTCACCACGTCAAGGCCACACCCGAGAGAGAGGTTTAGCCATTATAGCCTATAATAATAATAATTATATATATATATATATATATATATATATATATCATTATTATTATAGGCTATATATAAGATATTTTAATGTTCACATTTTAATTATTGGAATAAACGTTGAATACAGTTTAGAAGGGTGTTAAATGATGATCAACCACAAATGGAAATATGTGCTCATGTTAATCATCTCATATTTATAATGAAAAGGGCAAAAGCGAGAGGAGCCTCCAATCATGTACAATCAGCGCATCCAATTCATCATTCATCCGCATCTGAATTCTTGAATGTTCATATCATCATTGCAAACCCAGGTGCAGCTGATCGACATTCAAAAACTATGAAGTGCTTGTGTAGCTCATTCTCTCAGGCTGACTTTTGCTCTTTTTTCTTCAAAAGGTACACAAAGATGAAGACAGCTACCAACATTTACATCTTTAATCTGGCTTTGGCCGATGCATTAGCCACCAGTACTCTACCCTTCCAGAGTGCCAAATACCTCATGGGCACCTGGCCATTCGGTGAGCTGTTGTGCAAAGTGGTCATGGCTATTGACTACTACAACATGTTTACCAGTATTTTCACATTGACGATGATGAGTGTGGACCGTTACATTGCCGTGTGCCATCCAGTGAGAGCCCTGGACTTCCGCACACCTGTCAAAGCAAAGATCATCAACATCTGCATTTGGATTCTGTCCTCTGCTGTCGGCATCCCAGTCATGTATATGGCCGTTACATTTACAGATAAAGGTGAGACCAAAGTGAGTGGGGGAAAATATAGAAGTATTTAATTTTATAGCACAATAAACTAGATGTTAAGTGTTTGAGTAACTTATATTTTAGATCCAAAATTGCTAGTTACCATACCTATTTTGTCAAACTACTGTTTGTCAATTTTTGCTCTGCTAACAAAATCGGTATTAACAAAACCCTGCTGAATTAGTTAACGCTGTCTGAGCAATACACAATACACAGTTTTGCTGTGGACGAATCATTCTTTTTATACAAATCAGTTGAATGAACGATTCAACGCTCGCTCATAAAGACAATTGTTTGTTTCGGGTTCTGAAGAAATCAGTGCTTTTTAAAGGTGCCATCTGTAATAACTGAAGTTAAAATATCCAAAAAAATGAGCTACACGCATCAAAAGAATGAGAAGAAAAAAGGTTCATGATGTCATTGAAAAAATTACAAGTTATAGTGCTGCCGAGATATTAACCTGAATTAGCATGCTAATTGTATGTCGTAATGCCCTAAAGGTGTCGTAATACCTGTTTGGGCCATGGGGGGCGGTATCGAGCGGGCAACATATACCACCATCCGAACTGAAATACACGAGTAACACACACGGCTTGTGGGTGTACTTGAACCTGATGTCAATCGTATGGAAAGTATAGCCCACTACTACATTTCAGTAAATTCAATTCATGGAAGAGTTAAAAAAATGATTGGTCGATATTATGTATGAGGAATACATTCTGGTAAGTTGTAACATACTGTATCTTTCAACAGAGTTCATGTTCGGTTCACGTGCGCTAGGGATCTGTCGTGTAACATTTACAAGCACCAAAAGTATTGTTTGAATTACGTAATAAAGTTGACAGAATCTGAGAGCTGAGATTTTTTTATATATCATAACTACCTCGTATTTTCCGCACTATATGGCGCACTTAAAAGCCTTTAATCTTCTCAAAAAACGACTGTGCGCCTTATAATCCGGAGCGCCTTATATATGGATCAATTAGTTAACTACGCTCCGCGTTATTAAATTCACCCGTGAACTCGCGGCCGTGTCCATCTAATGCCGCTTTGTCACACGGCCAGTTCAACCTCGTATAAATCAGCTTATGTGTGTCTCCTGCTCACGAGCGCTTACTCTTAATAGACACACGAACAGACACACTGTCCCCGGCGCTGCTCACGCGTCACAGAATGTTCATAAAGTGCACCCCGTTCACAGTAACCGGGTTGTCTCTTTCAAAACTGCCAGCCGTCGCTGTCAGCGAGCCGCCGCACATTGAATACTCGTATGAGTCAGGCTGCGAATGCAAGTTACGTGCCGGCCCCAGCGCGCTCACACTAATAAAAGCCTCACCTCCGACGCTGCGCACTCGCAAATAGCCTGGGCTTTTATTTTCCCATATCGTCGAAATGTCCCATATCGCAGATGGCACCTTTAAATAATCTGTTGATTGAATTCAATGACTGATGCACCGAAACTGCAAACTGTTAGGTTCTATATTTGGTTTGAAACATACTTTGCGGCTGTTAAATCAGTATTACAATATAATATGAATATGGGTAGTAGTATGAACAAACTATTCTTCATGTTGTCAAATCTTGTGACCTGCCAGTGTCAGTTGCATTGCTTCACTGCCATTCACAGCTAGGGAATTACAAAACAACTGATCAGTAAATTCAATCCAATAAATTACTTTAGAATTAACCAATCTTCTTCTCTCTCTCTCTCTTTTTTTTTTACATATATATTCTCCCCAGGCAAAACGATCTGCATGTTGAAATTCCCAGACTCAAATTTTCAGTATTGGGATACTGTGACCAAGATCTGTGTTTTCATTTTTGCCTTTGTGGTTCCCGTCTTGGTCATCACCATCTGTTATGGTCTAATGATCTTTCGCCTTAAGAGTGTGCGCTTGTTGTCTGGCTCCAAAGAGAAGGACAGGAACCTCCGGCGTATTACCCGCATGGTATTGGTGGTGGTTGCAGCCTTCATCATCTGCTGGACCCCTATCCATATCTTCATCATCGTCAGGACTGTGGTGGAGATCAACAACAAGAATCTGCTCATAGCCACCTGCTGGCACCTGTGTATTGCTCTTGGCTACATGAACAGCAGCCTCAATCCGGTCTTGTACGCATTCCTGGATGAAAACTTCAAGAGGTGCTTCAGAGAATTCTGTGTGCCCTTTCGTTCCCGCATGAAGCACAGCAGCTTTTCAAGAGCTCGTAGCGCCACGAGAGAGCCCATCTCAGTGTGTGCCAAGTCTGATTCAATAAAGCAGCCCACATGACTAGACCTGGACCAGATGCCTCCTGGGACGCAACCAAGGACACAAAAAGACCTGCAGTCTGAGATAACCCAGTTCTCCACCACTGAGTTTTAAACTCCTGTGAAATTAATCTAAGTTGGCGACAAGCTTGTATACAGAAAGGCAAAATACTGGTTCGTTTGTAGGAAGATAATCTGCAAAATGTTTTCCAAAGTGAGGAAATTAGATCATTTGGACCATCAAGATTCTAATCATGCAGTGGGAAAAACAAAAAATGTGGCCTTGGAATAGTCAACAGGAAATCTGCATTCATTAATGGTATGTGAGCCATCAAAGTGGATTCCCGTAATTGGATTTTTAAATAAAAGTGAATGTGTGTCCCTGGGATTTGTGGGATCTTGTTACTGAAATACATTATTACTGGGGCCAAACGATGTACTGAACACACAAATTCAGTTCCTCAAACAACAAAATAAGTCGTAAGATGGAAGTTTCATTCAAAGGGACAAAAATGCTCACTTTTCACAGAACAATGAAAATGTACAGAAGTCTTTTTTCACACCATAATGAAAGGATTTCATTAAATCTGAGAAGAAAGATATATGGAGAAAGAGATGTGTCGGATACAGAGAATGGACCAAAATTTCATGGTTTGCAGGATGACAGAATACTTTCTTCAGGATCGCTGTTAAAATACACTGTTATAAACTCTTGACACAATGTTCATTTCATGGTGCTTGAGAAGGTGTAATGTTGTGCTATACTGAAGGTGTTTGATAACCTTTGAGTGTACAGCATTTAGACATAGTCTGAGTCTATCACGTAGATATTTTCTTAGTTATTTGTCATGAAGTATTTAGTGCAACAATTCTTGCATTTCATTGCTATTAGTGCAGAATGGCTGTTTGTTGACCTTCTTCAAATCCACATCTAAAATTTTATTTTGTGATATTAGCGTCTTATTCTAAACGTCAGCTTTGCTGTAAAACGAGTTTAGTTTCTTGAGCTGTTATAAACAAACTTTTTCCAGTCAGGAAATGTGTTTATGTATTAGCAGTGAGTATTTCTTTTCTGTAGAACCTGTATATACTTTTGCAAAATGGTTGCATATTTCCTCATGAATCAAATTTTTATGGATGCATGGCAATTAGACGTCACCATTGTTTATCTGAACTGTCAGTGTGAAAGCTAAAGTAACCTATTACCATTTTTCTGTAGATTGCATGGGTGTTGGGGGGGAAAAAACAATTTTCACTTCCCACATGATGAGTGTGCCTTAGTATCTAAAATATACATTCATCATCTCATATATTGAATGGCTTATCATTCAATATATGATATGATGAATGTATATTTTAGATATATTGAATGATAGGCCTGTCACTCTTCTTAAAGCTGTTTTAAAGATTTAAATTTTGTTTGGAAAAAATTAAACACAAAAGCCCTAAAAAAGCTGTTTTTCCACTGGTACTTGTAAAGGTTTTGCATAATCTCTTCAGCAGACAACCTATAGACCCCTTTTTGCAATATATTGGATAAGTGCTTTGAGTAAAGTAGCTGGAGCCTTCTAGTGCGTGTATGCTAAAATCCACACCAAAAAATTGATGCATTTGATGTGGAAAAGTGTTTGGGAACCAAATGTTAGGGTCTAAGCAGACGTACCGTACGCACTTTCCTTCGTGGCAGAGAGTCTGAGAACTGTAGATATTTGAAAATGTAAAGATTAGGCTACCTATTATGCAAAAATCACTTTTACAAAGTGTTTGAACATAAAAATGTGTTGGCAGTGTGTGTAAACCAAATACGGTTCACTTCTATTACTCATGAATGGGAGAAACTGCAACACGCAGTATGGCGGAATACATCCCACCTTCTAAGAAAAAAGCCAATCACTGATTGGTAAAGTCATTACATCACTGCAGCTGCCGTTAGAAGCCCCGGTTCCCAGAGAAACTTGAGACCATAGACTGTAGGCTTGTAGCGTTGCAAATATGGCCGCAGAGTGAACAGATTTTCCTTGACACGAACTTTGGCATAAACACCCACTATGGATACAGGTCCACCCACTCCTTTTAATTAATCCCCATAAATCATAAGCAGTGTCTCAGAACACGGCGTTTGCAGATCCTGGGCAAAGTGATGTCACTTTGTACAGGCCCCGCCCACAACTGCTGACAGACTCTGCCATATTAGCATAGACCTGCCCTGAGCGAGGAGTACACTGTCAGTACCAACTGTTGGTGATCCAGTCTCCGGAGCCATACTGGTTACAGCAGTAATGAATGGGAGAGCAAATATTTTATTGCAGTTCAGTTGCATCTGAGATGTTTACATGTATTAAGTTTACCAGTTTATTGAGCAACCCCCGAAAAGGCATAAGGTCTGTATATATTTGTTTACTGTTAGTCATAACGAGTTGTTTTGTGTAATTCGCTGTGTATGTTTATGGGTAAGAATTTAATGCGCACTTCTTGTACTGTGTTCTATTCAACTCTTACGGTGATTTTCTGCAGGTGAAAACAGATGCTTCATTTTTTGTGTGATATACAATAAACTCATGCAGCATATATTCTCTGGCTCAGAAGGCATTATTGTCTGACTCCAGTTCGAGGCTGAACACCACTACTGACAACTTTTGACATTTTCAGTGCAAGAGATTGTCCTGTTTTGCTGTTACATGAGCTCTTGAACACTAGCCCATGATTTACTCACCCTCAACTCATCCTAGGTGTATATGACATTCTTCTTTTAGACGAATACAATTAAGAGTTAAGCCTTTATAAAAATAAAATGTCCTGGCTCTTCCAAGCTTTATAATGGCAGTGAATTGTTTCTGTTGAAGTCCATCTATCCATCATAAAAGTGATTCACACAGCCCCGGGGGGTTAATAAAGGCCTTCTGAAGTGAAGCTTCAATATGCTATAAAAATGATCTGTTGGGTATTTTGAGCTGAAACTTCACATACAAACTCTGGGGACATCAGAGACTTATTTTACATCTTGTAAAAGGGTGCATAATAGGCCCCCTTTAAAGGACAAGTTCGGTATTTTACACTTAAAGCCCTGTTTTAAGATCGTTTCTGATGAAATAGAACGGTTAAGATTTTACCACCCCCACCTCCACAATGGTTGCATAGGTGCACTGGAATAATCCTTCATAAAACACATTAAACTTTAGTTTACAAAGACGTTAAACTCACCGAGTGGTCTGGGGTGTTCACTGACAGGCTCACACAAAAATCACTGCAAAAGATGACAGATGACAAAAGTCAGCCACTGGAGGACAAACTAAACATTTCATCGTCTATCTGTTCACTATCAAGCTGATTCGTTTTAAAGCATAATTGAAAATAGGGGTCCTGTCTGTTTCCTGTGGCCTGCTTCAATATATACAGTACTTCTGCTCTGTCTAAATTCCAACAAAGAGGAGCAGAATCAATGCACCTGTTATTTTGGAAAACAGTACACACACTTAAAGCAATGGTGTTTGCAGTTCTGTATACCTTGTGCCACAGTAGGGATAATGGACTCTGGAAATGGTCACGGTGCAACACAGAGTCTCAACCAGCCAGCAGAAGTAATCTTAGATGAGTAAATGGTCTGAATAGCGAACACCATCATTATGGTCAGCAAATGTCATTTATGTGCTTCTCTGGTTCCTTGTGATTGTGATTTGGAGTGTCTGTTACATAACGACATAAACAGAGGATCAGAGAGACTGAGCAGAGGGAAGCATCACGAGGCAGAGTAATGACAAGAGACACAGCATGTCATCTCTAGATTGATCAGGAGGATCACACTCTGCACAATATTGCGCTCAACCTCTTCAGTGTCCTTATGAGATTCATTTTTGACAAGCTGTGGGCTAAATTGGAGAGTCAGTGCAGATATTAAACAACTCATATTCTTGCACATAATAGCTATACGCAACTGATGCTTAACATGTCCATTGAAAGTGCTGAAAAAAAAAAACTAAAGGTAATATCAGTTTGTCACTCCCCCAAAAAGTCAGTTTAAAAGCCTCCTCAATTTGACTATGTATCATTATTTTTTTACTGTCAACTGTCACACACACATGATAAAACAAATTAAATACACATAAATAAATATATATAAAAACTTTGTATAATCCGTCATGCTCTTGGCTAAGCAGGTCCCTATAATTTATCTGAGGAGAATAGGGTTACAGTCATACCCATATCCAGTAAGAACTTCCATTAGGCTGCTCTGTTCAGTTTCCATGGTGACATGTGGTTGTTTACCCATCAAGATGAGATGCTATACAATAACAAATGCTGATATTATTAACATAAATTGTCCATCGTATGCCTGAAAGAAAAGAACATCTAATTCAAACAATTATAGGGTGCCAGTTTTCAGTTGTCAAAACAGACTATTAAAAAAAAAAAAAAAACCTTAAAAAGAATGTTGTGAAAACCAAAAATTGTTAGCTGGGACAAAAGTCAACTAATTTCAAACCAAGCATCTTTCTGTTGGTCAACACCATGCTTGAACAATCTTTCTCCCTGAAACATGACATTCCAGATCTCATGAATTCCTGCTGAAAAACTGGATTTCACCTACGAATTCACAGATCAATGAAAAACACACACAATTTATTTCTTGTGAATACTTCATGGTAATGTTTTATGTACACGATTTTAATTATGTTTTAATTTGTCACGTGTAAAACGTTTTAAAGTCATAGACAGAATAATGAGCACAGATTAGTTTAACAAATTCTGCACTAAACCATAAAAATAATGGACAATTTTGATTTCATGGAGACAGGAAAAATTTGCTCCTTTAAAAAGCTGTAGAAAATACTAACGCTTTTAACAATTCATGGGTTGCCTGTTATGAAACATTTAATTTTCGTGACATATTTTGGAACTGCATGATGAATGCTTATATGAATAAGGCCTTTAAATGTAGCTTGCTGGCATTAAAAACAACAACATTTAAAGCCAGTGCCCTGTCCACTTCTCAGTGCAGCAAGCTCATGCTGTCTCACACCAGGCATCAAAAAACATTGATGACAGCATTAAATGATGGTGGTCAATTAAGTGCTTGCAGAAGAGGCTGTTAGCATTTCAAAGCTTTCCGAGAAAGTGGGCCTTGAAGGGCTTTTCAAGAGAAACCCCACAAAGTCTCTCAGCATGACTCACTGTGGGCTGTAACATAAAGAACAGACCGAGAGCACAATTCCATTTCTCCTTCATGGATGCTGAAGTGGTGCTTTGATCTGCAAATTTTATCAATAGCGACCAAACCATTTCCAGCCTCAAGTGCTTTCAACATACTTACATAAGCATCAACTGATATTCCATAATCTAACAGAGTATACATTTCTGCTGGTTATTGCTTCGGGTCACAGACAGTTTACTGTCAAGGATTTATCGTGTCGCACCACACAGCTATATTGTGTTCTATTGTTTTTTTTTTTATAGACAGTAGACATCACTTGTGTCCGCTGTAGACAAGAATTTTTGGTAAATGTTTAGATGTATTTGTCTGTGGAATAGAAAAATAAGCATTTTCAGTGAGGAGCGAAGAACTATCTTTTTAATCTTGATTGCACGCATTTAGAGCACATCTCAGCCCCCCAATGATATGAGCCACACAAAGAAACACGCTTCTATGGTCATATATATGCCAATTTTATATATCTATTTAATTTTTACTTTAAAGTAGTTACACAAGGAAATGTAGGCAGATGAATAAACTATTCAAATAAAACTTACTTACAAATATGAGCATCCAATAATCCCAGTTTTAAAAAGCGAGTCTTGATCTAATAAACCTGCACTAAACAAGTAGCTTGTTTTAAATAAGTAATCATAGGTTAGTTTCTGTAAAGATTGATTTTTATTAATTGTCCACAAGGCCAGCAATGCATGATACAATAATGGTTTCATTAAGGAAATCAGTTTATCACTGCAAAGTACAGCAATACCAAATCTGTTAGTTTTTTTTTTGAGAGAGAGAGAGAGAGATTAGACCTGCAATTGTAACCGTTTATTGCTCAGACCGGAACACGGAATTTAAAATCGAAGACAAAAAAAAAAAAAAAGGACTTTTCTAAAACACTTATTTAATCACTTTAGCTCATACATGCAGACAATCATTCACGGCAGTCAGCCACGCTAAAGATCTTGGTTAAAAAAGAATTAAGAAAATAACGCAAAATAACTTTTTTCCATAAAAAAGGTCTCTGATCATCTACCGGACCATATCCAGTGAATGTTTGGGCTCCCCATAAAGCGGGATAAAAGGTTTAATCAGATGAAACTCATCCTACCCTCTTCACAACCTACCACCTCCCTCATTGCTGGCTTAGCTCAGCACAGGAAGCATTACCAATCCCAAACTCCCCCAATCTTGATCAAGCTTTAGGTTACAGATACCACTGATACAGTAGATTGGCTCCGCTGTCTTTAGTCAAGGAGTTAAAGATCAGCTCTCCTGCTTGTCTTTGACCAGCAGGACCGTGTGCTGCCCTCCACTGGACACTGATAGAACTACACGGTTCTCCAGCTGCTTGCCTGTCATTTCCACTGGGCTCCATTCATCCTCCTCTTCTCCTGTACCCAGCTGTAGATTGGTACCCATTCCCCAGGAAAATACAGAGCCTGGCCAACAGATTCCAAAAACACAGCTTTTAAACAAGATCAAAACAAGCCAACAGTACATTCTATGTTATTTGTTAATGCCCTAAAAAAAATCTGCTGTGAAGGGGTGCAATTAATGTAATCAGTGGTTGAGGATAAATTTGTGAACAACACACACTACGTCACTTGCTGCTTTTGCCATTTAAAATACAGGGACAAGCAATGCTACAACCCAAATGGTATCAAACTATAAATGCACTGATCAGTTGAGATTTGACAAGTAAAATCAAATAGTTCAATTTATATAAATAGCAAAAAAAATTTATTTAAATATCTACCAGAAAAGCACACTACCGTTGGAGTCAGTAAAGTTACTTTTTTCTTTGGAAAAAAAAAAAAAAAAGAAAGTCCACACTAATGTTTTTGTTTGATCTTTTTAATCAAACTTGATCGGTTGCGTTTTAGACGAAACATATGGCGACAGTGCGACCTGGATGCATCAGTGAATGGGGAGATATTTTACTTTGTCCATTTTAAAAACTGATTTTGGCCGCCTTCTAGTGGATTTCTAGTGCATTTACTTGAACTTCTGAGGTAATATCTTTGGGCCTGCCTCATAGGGTCAGTAGATGAATTGCAGTTTAATTCACTTCTGTGTTGGTTTCAAGAGAGACAGAGAGGTTGCTGGGTTTTACGCATGTGCAGTATGGTGAACTTAGCGTTTTTAGGTGTTTTTCAAAAGTTTCATCCACACTGAGCCGTTGGAAAACGCTAGTGTGGACAGAGTGTTTTTAAATGAGCACAGTCTACTTAAATCACAAATACAAGTGACATTTAATGTTACAAATGTGCTATTTGTTTGAACTTTCAATTCAAAGAATCCTGAATAAAGATGCATCACCACCTCAACAAAAAAATATTAAAGCCACAATATGTATTTTTTCTGCATTAAAAATAG